CAAGTGACCTCTGCAGGGTCAGGGAGGTTAATTTCCTCCCAAATCCCCTCAACCAAGGTGGGAGCTGCTGATGGACACTTTGATGGTTGTCCTTCCGCATGTCTGCCCTGGGCAGGTTTGCTGGATTTCCTGGGAAAAACTCTAGGTAGAGCTCCACTGTTGGTCTGCCTTGCCCCCTCCCCACTGGTTCAGGACCCTCAGCCAAAGGCAAGACAATGGGCAGGTGTGGAGGGGGGATGCAGTCAGGACCCCCACCCCATCCCTTGCCAGCCTCAATAGACTGAGGAACGTGCAAGTGGCCTGGGGCAGCCCTATGATCATTACAGTAAGGCTGGTGTCAGTGAGGCTAAAAGTCAAAGAGAGAGGAGCCCAGTTTCAGAGGCGGTGCTTATGGTTTCAATTAGAAAATTAATGGGATTTATTTTGTATTCTGATTATAGAATTCGTTCATGCTCATTGCAGACAGGAAAGGATAAAGAAGACAAGAAAAATCATATATAATCTCATGACAGAGCTCACTGCTGTTAGCACTGTTATTTATTTCCTTCTAGTCTTTTTTTTCCCAGGCATACATGTGGAGACGACCTTTTTTTTTTTTTTAAGATTTTATTTTTAAGTGATCTCTACACCCAACACGGGGCTCCAACTTACAAGAGTCGCAGGCTCAACCAACGGAGCCAGCCAGGTGCTCCTGAGATGACATTTTTACAGCAAAATTGTAGTCAGAAGCTTCTGTTTCTGGCAGAATGACAAGCTAGATATCCAGATAGCACCTCTTAATACAGAGCACGTAAAAATACTGAGACAATATTAATTTTAAAAAACTTTTTTTTAAGGCATGGTGGAGTTGGCGGGACAGTAGGGGACATCTTCCAGGCCGAAAATAAAAAGAAAGCCATATTAATATTTTTGAGACAACTGGGAAGTTGAACACTGATTATAGCAGAGGTGTAAATACTGATGATACTAGGAGATTATTATTTTAAATTTTTGGTGTGTGAATGCAGACGTTAAGGCCATATTTTTAAAGAGTTCTCATTGTTTGGGGGCGCCTGGGTGGCTCAGTCGGTAGGCGTCTGCCTTCGGCTCAGGTCATGATACTGGGGTCCTGGGATCAAAGCCCACGTCGGGCTCCCTGCTCAGTGGGGAGCCTGCTTCTCCCTCTGCCACTCCCCCTGCTTGTATTCCCTCTCTCGCTGGGTCTCTCTCTGTCAAATAAATAAATAAATAAATAAATCTTAAAAAAAAAAAAAAAAGAGTTCTCATTGTTTGGAGATGCATACCAAAGTAGTTTCAGATGGAACAGCATAATGTCTAGAATTTGCTTCCAAACCATACCGAGGGTAAGTGGGTTTCAAAGTTGGCTGTGTCATTACTTCACTGAACTAATTGAAATGTTCACTGGGGTCGTCACATTGTTCTTTGTATATTTACGTATATTTGAAATTCTGCATTAAATGAAAACACAATCATGGAGGGCTGCAGCTGGCTTTGACCTGGGGATGTCTCTGTCCCCAAGAACCCCTGGGAGGGCAGCACATTGCAAACAGGAGCAAAGCTCTGGGCCTGAGCAAGGAGGAAGGTCAGATCAGAAACCCCCAGGGTGCTGAGATCCCCCAGAAAAGAGACATCCTCAGTAAGTAAACAGCAACAGAATTGGGGGGCTGTGGGGGTGAGAGGGAGAAGACCTCCTTACGTTGGCCTCGGCTCTGAGTAGAGCAGAAAAAGAAGGAAGATAAACGTCTCCCTGAGAATGTCTCAGCATGGCGCTGTACTCCCAGGGGCTTGGAGCAAGAAGCCACATAAAGTTTGAAGTTGAGGGTGTAATCCAAAGTGGTCCCCGTTGGTAGAGCTCCACAAAGCCTGGCAAAGCCAAGGCAGCTCAGGAGGGAATGCACTTCAGACACAGCCCTTGAAGGCTTCCCGCTAATCGAGTTATGGAACTCATAGAGCACATCAGGAAATGAACCACCATGAGCAAGGGTCAGCAGAAAAAGCAAACTGTGGTTCAGAGCCATAAAAGCTGCAGACACTCAAGTTCCAGAGAAACTTCAGTTATGAACCATTAAAAAAAAGCCTTCTTCAAATGTTCAAAGAAATAAAACTGGGGGCACCTGGGTGGCTCAGTTGGTTAAGCATCTGACTCTTGATTTCGGCTCAGGTCATGATCTCAGGGTAGTGAGCTCGAGCCCCACGTCGGGCTCTGCGCTGAGTGTGGAACCTGCTTAAAGTTCTCTCTCTCTCTCCCTCTCCCTCTGCCCCTCCCCCGCTTGCGTGCACGTGTGCGCTCTCTCTCTCTCTCTCTCTCTCTCAATAAATAAATAAAATCTTTAAAAAAAAAAAAAAAGAAAACAGGCTATTGAAAGTATGACGAAAAAGCAAGAAGCCATCACATTTTTCAGGGAAATTGCAGAAGAGGACTAAAGAAGGATTTCAGAAATAAAAACTATCATTGCACCTGGGAAACGAATGGCCTGGTTAAGGATCTGGCAACACCGGCGAGTGCTCTGGAGACAGATGGAAGCGATTGCCCGGAGCAAAGTCCAGAGAGACAAGCAGGTGAAAAGGAAGTTAGCTCCACATTCCTGGTGGGAATGTACAATGGTGTGTGTGCTCTATGCTGTTTCTACTGGAAACCCTCTGGAAGCTCTTCTAAAGGTTACACCTAGTACCACCACATTCCCAGGCATCTACTCAAGAGAAGCGAAGGGAAAAATCCACATGAAAATGTGCACATGAAATTTCGCAGCGGCATTATCCGTGATAGCCCCAAAGTAGAAACAACCCAACCGCCCTGATGTCCAGAATGCGATTTATCGATACTAGGGGAATAGTATTTGGCAATAAAAAGGAATGCAGTGCTTATACACACTACAACGGGGAGGAACCTTGAAACTTATGCTAAATGAAAGAAGCCAGGCACAAAAGACCACATATTGTATGACTCCGTTTATTTCAAACATCCAGGAGAGGCAAATCCGTAGAGACAGAAAAAGCAGATTAGAGGTTGCCAAGGGCTGGGGGGATGGGAAGATGGAGAGCGACCGCTGATGGCCATGGGGTTTCTTCTTGGGGTGATGAAATGTTCCGGCGTCAGTTGAAGGGATGGTTGCACAACTCTGTGAACATACAAAAAACTTTTGTATTCTTCGCTTGAAATAGGTGACCTGTATGGTATGTGAATTATATCTCAACAAAGATTTTTCAAAAAGATGAAGAGACACAGGGTAGGGGGGTGGGGCAAGGAGATCTAGCGGAGCAACAGCCGGCAGAAGGAAAAACCACAGAGGGGCAGAGGCAATATTCAGTGTCCTAATGGTTGAGAGTTTGCAGAAGTTTAGAGAAGTGGTCACTGACCCAAAGTCCTTGGACTCAGAAAACCCAGTGAATCCCAAGCAGGATTTTTTATTTATTTTATTATTTTTTAAGAAATTGTTTCCCACATTTTTTAAGATTTTATTTATTTATGATTTATTTATGTGAAAGAGAGAGCATGAGTGGGGGGAGAAGCAGAGGGGAGAGGGAGAAGCAGGCTCCCCACTGAGCGGGGAGCCCGACACAGGGCTCAATCCCAGGACCCCCGGGACCATGACCTGAGCCGGAGGCAGATGCTTAACCGACTGAGCCGCCCAGGCGCTCCACAAGCAGGATTTTTTTTTTTTTTAAAGAAAAGAAAAAAAGAAAAAGAAATCCACACCTACACACGTAGGGATACGTTCAGGTCCAGTCAAGAGACAGAAATCACACCGTCATTGAACAAGGAAAGTTTATGCTAAAGAAGAAAATAACGGGGAGGGGAGTGATGGCGGTCAGGGAGCAAGAGGTACCGAGAACGCCAAAGAACACAGGCGCAGCAGAGGGGCTGAGCCAGAGAGCCCCGCAAAGGTGATCCCCGGGCAGAGACCCAGCCTTCACCCAAGAGGGCTGAAGGTGCCGGGGAGTTCCCCGAGGTGTGCTACCAGCAGCAGTCCCCGGAAATCCACCCTCGCATGCTGGGGAAGCCTGTCGTGGCGAGGTGTCCCGCCGGTGGCCCCCACGAGGATGCGGAGGGCAGGAACACACAGAAGCAGGACAAGCCATCGGTCCTCCGCCCCACTGTCCCCAGTGCCCTCCAGGTCCCCTGCCACTGAGCAGGCAGCAAGTTACCAGCTGGCCCAACAGCGAGACCGCAGGACAGCAGAAAGAAAGAGCTCCCAAAGCCAGCCAGAGGGAAGGACGGAATGGCGACCGGCCAGGGCCCACCAGCCCGGCCCAGGGCAGCGGCGGAGGACCTCGGAGCGGAAACACCTGCACCATGCCTCCCACACCCAGCAAAACCGTCTTCAAACACGGGGCCAAAGAGAGCCCTTTTCAGATAGACAGAAGGAAGGGAGTTTGCCAACACACCCTCAGCGGAGACGCTGCTTGAACGTGTTCTTCAGGGCAAAGGGAGGCAACCAAAATGGCAAACATTTGGTTAAATCGAAATCAATGACTGTACGCAGTAGCGGTAACCTCCACTGTGTGCGGGAGGAAGCCTCGGTGCGCCTGAGAAACCGCGAGACAGCATTCTGCATTTCTTCCTTCTTCTCAGTTATGTAGACCAGTGTGCACCCATGGATATTGGTTTTATTCTTTGGGTCATAATCGCATACTGCCCTTATTTATTTTGTGAGGCCAGCTGTTGCAACACTGGTCATGGGAGCTCTGTACTTGGCTCTGGTCCCTGTAATGTGCCCCACCCCCACCCCTGCCCCCGCCCCGCTGCTTCCCTAGTGTCTGGCCCCGTAAGACGCTCTGGGACCAACTTCGATTTTCCCTGCCCCAGAGCTAGAATCATGGGTTCTCCAAGGAGCCCTGGCTCCTTTGATGGGATAATGGTATTTAGAAACCAAGATCTGGGTACTAAGTCTGTCCTGTTTCATCTTGTTTTTTATTTTAATTTTTTATTTATTTACTTGTTTATTTGTAGAGAAAGAACATGCACACCAGCAGGGAGGGGAGGGGCAGAGGGAGTAGGGGAGAGAGAGAATCCTAAGCAGACTCCACACCCAGTGTGGAGCCCAACTCAGCGCTCCATCTCACCACCCTGAGATTGTGACCTGAGCCCAAATCAAGTCAGACACCTAGCCACCTGAGCCACCTAGGCGCGCCAGTATTTTAATTATTTTAAAATGTTTCTATCTTGGGTTTTCTATCTATGTAATCATATCAGCTACCAAAAAGAGAGAAAGAGAGAATTTTACTCCCTCCTTTCCAATATGTCTACATATTATTTCATTATTTTATCAAACTGCATTTTAAGTACACATTTAATTTTTGGAACAGTTTCCGATTGGGAGTTACAGAGACAGTAGAGTGATCATATACAGTCCACACCCAGGTTCCTGTGTTATTAACATCTTACTTTAGCATGATACACAATTAATGAACCAATAACATTCTTAGTGTCTGAGGTCCATGCTTTATTCAGATTTCCATAGTTGTGTGTGTGTGTGTGTGTGTGTGTGTGTGTGTGTGTATGTGTGTTTTAAGTAGGCTCCCTGCCCAATGTGGAGCTCAATGCAGGGCCCTACTCTCTACCCTGAGATCAAGACCTGAGCTAAGAGTCAGATACCTAGAGCGCCTGGGTGGCTCAGTCGTTAAGCGTCTGCCTTTGGCTCAGGTCATGATCCCGGGGTCCTGGGATCGAGCCCCACATCGGGCTCCCTGCTCGGCAGGAAGCCTGCTTCTCCCTCTGCCATTCCCCCTGCTTGTGTTTCTGCTCTCGCTATGTCTCTCTCTGTCAAATAAATAAACAAAATCTTTAAAAAAAAAAAGAGTCAGATGCCTAACCAACAGAGCCACCCAGGTGCCCCCAGATTCCCATGGTTTTTTTGTTTTTGTTTTTGTTTTAAAGATTTTATTTATTTATTTTTTAAGATTTTATTTATTTATTTGAGACAGAATGAGATAGAGAGAGAGCATGAGAGGGGAGAGAGTCAGAGGGAGAAGCAGACTCCCTGCTGAGCAGGGAGCCCGATGCGGGACTCGATCCTGGGACTCCAGGATCATGACCTGAGCCGAAGGCAGTCGCTTAACCAACTGAGCCACCCAGGCACCCTAAAGATTTTATTTATTTATTTGACAGAGACAGCGAGAGAGGGAACACAAGCAGGGGGAGTGGGAGAGGGAGAAGAAGCAGGCTTCCCCGCGGAGCAGGGAGCCCGACGTGGGGCTCCATCCCGGGACCCTGGGATCATGACCTGAGCTCAAGGCAGACGCTTAACGACTGAGCCACCCAGGCGCCCCCAGATTCCCATAGTTCTTACCTAACATTCTTTTTCCGTTCCAGGAGCCCATATGAGATGTCACATCACATTTAGTCTTGTCTTCGTAGGCTCATCTGGGCTGGAACGGTTTCTCAGGCTTTCCTTGCTTGGGCTCACCTTGGCGGTTTCAAGGAACGCTGGTCACGATTCGCAGAATATCTCTCCTTTGGAATTTTTTTCTCATGATTAGGCAGGGGTTTGGGGCTTGGGGGAGGAAGACCACAGAGGTAAAGCGCCTTCTCATCACATCACATGAAGGGAACTTCAACATGACGGCCCTACCCACTGTTCATGCTGACTTTGGCCTCCTGGCTGAGGTGTGTGTGTGCGATTTCTCCACTGCCAAGTTACTCTCCGGCCCCCCCCCCCCCCCGTTTCCATACTGTACTCTTTGGAAGGAAGTCCCTTGTTGCAACCCACATGGATGGGAGGGCGTGGTGTTCCACCTCCCTGAGGGTGGGGCATCTGTATAAATTATTTAGGATTCCTCTGTGTGGGACATTGAACTGTCTCCCTGACTCCTGTTTACTTAGTAAGTCATTTACTTATATCACTCATGGATATTTATTTTATACTTAGGGTTTAGTTTAATACTATTTTACTTGTTTTCGTGCTCAAATTTCTCCAGCTTGGGTCATTGGGAACTCCTTCAATTGGCTCCTGTGTTCCTTTGACAAACACCCTCCATTAGGGGTACTTTATAATTATAATAATTATTATTATTATTACCATTAGCATTTCCCTACATGTTGGCTCTGCAAGGTCCTCCAGGATTATCTGGTCTATTCCCTGCCCAGCCCTAGAGTCAACCACTTAACCAGTTCTCCAGGGAGCCTTGTTCCTTTTACAAAGAAGAGTATTTAGGGGCACCTGGGTGGCTCAATGGGGTAAGTGTCTGACTCTTGATCTCGGCTCAGGTCTTGATCTCAGGGTCGTGAGTTCAAGCCCCACGTTGGGCTCCATGCTGGGTGTGGAGCCTACTTTAAAAGAATGGTATTTAGAAACCAAGATCAGGGTTGAGGTGCATCTTTTTTTTTTTTTTTTATTTTTATTTTTTCAGGCTTTTTTAACTTTTTAATAATTTCAGCTAAAAAAAAAAAAAAAACAGAGAGAGAAAGGATAATTTAACAACTTCCCCCCTACGTTTATACATATCTTTTCATTCTTTTTTTAACTGCAACTTTTATTTTGTTCTTTACATATTTAAACCGGCAATACATTCACATGAAATGCATGAGATACAAAAGAGTAATTGCATCTTTTATGCAATTTTTTACCTTGCTTTTTTTGCCCCACCTGATGTTATGTCCCGAGCATTTCCCCATATTCTTAGATGTTCTCCGCAGGCATCATTTTTAATAGCTGCTTCGTAATTTTGCTATGGATAGAGTACAACCTACTGAAGCATTCTGCACGGCGTCTAGCCTTCTCCGTGTTCTCAGCGTTGGACCTAATACTGCAGCTGGCAGCCCTGCGTGTGCATCTTTGGGTCTCCCTGTGGTTATGGCCCCATGGGGCAGTATGCACGAGAGTTACCGGATCAGACTTCGCTAAGACTCCAGGTTCAGAACGTAGCCATGACATGGGGCTAGAAGTTGGGGAAGATGAGGGGGTCGGGCTCAAATCAGAGCCGAAGGGTAGTAGACAACTTTACAGCTCCTGTACGCTCTGTGCGCACAGGACTTGGATGAACGTTTCTTCTGTATATCAAGCTGGCATTTATCCATCTCATATTTACTGGGCACCTACTGTGTGCCAGGTACTGTTCTAGGAGCTTTCAATTCCAAAAAAGAAGACCACTGCTGTCATGGAGCTTACACTTTAGAGGGGGGAGAGACAGATAATAAGTAATACATAAATTTTATAATATGTTCGAAAAATTATGAAAGAAAAAAAGAAAATGTGAAGCAGGGTTAGGAGATCAGGACAGATCTCAGGACAACAGAGGGTTGTCAGGAAAGATCTCACCAAGAAGGTAGACTAAGAAGCAAAGACCAGAAGGAGCAGAGGATGGGGTCAAGAGGACCTCTGGAGGAAGAACATTCCAGAAAGGAGGAACAGCCAATGCGAGGGTTGAGAATATACCTTTTTATTTTTTTATTGTTTGAAGATTTTATTTATTTGACAGAGAGAGACCCAGAGAGAGAGGGAACACAAGCAGGGGGAGCAGGAGAGGGAGAAGCAGGCTTCCCGCTGAGCAGGGAGCCCCATGCGGGACTCGATCCCAGGATCCTGGGATCATGACCTGAGCCGAAGGCAGAGGCCTAATGACTGAGCCACCCAGGCGCCTCGAGAATGTACCTTTTTAAATTTTATTTTATTTATTATTATTATTTTTTAAGGAGTTTATTTATTCATTTGAGAGAGAGAGAGAGAGTGTGTGTGTGTGTGTGTGTGTGTGCGCGCGCGCGCGTGCACGCACGGGGGAGGTGGGGCAGTGGGAGAGGGAGAAGCAGGCTCCCCGCTGAGCAGAGAGCCCGCCTCGGGACTCGATCCCAGGGTCCTGGGAACATGCCCTGAGCCGAAGGCAGACGCTTAACCGACTGAGCCACCCAGAAGCCCCCCAACATTGCTTTAAATGCTCACAGATCTCTTTAATGTCTGGCCTCTCATATCTATTTCTGCATTCAATGTATTGCAAAATGTTGTTTGGATTGAGTATATGAAGAAAACAGGGCCTCACACGTTCACGGAGCTGGAGAGAGAAGAGTGTGTTGGCAACCTTTTCAAGTAATTGTGGCTGGTTTCTCTGTTTCTTCACTGGAACCCAGCAAGTCGTGGTTTCGCAAAGGTTACCTGTGGCGTGGAATTACCTGCGGCGTGGAATCGGAAAGCATGTGAATTAGCATTCTGAACTTTGTAACATTAAAGTCCAATAGGGTAAGCCACTCTCAGAGCAGACGGTATTATCCTAATACCAAATTTGTCCCAGAAGAGGGGTGCTACTGTTAAAACAACAAACGGGAGGGAGAAACTAAATTATATGGTGCTGGCTCAGCAGCCAGGCAGTGGGCAGGGTGGAAATGGGTACCAGACAGACCCATGTAACCCGGAGGCGGGCGTTAGGTTCAACAGTCGCCCGTGATGACTTGCAAGATCAGCTACATACCTACGAAGCCTGCGCACCCGGGGGGAGTGTGAGCACCAGAACACTAACAGTGCACCCTGGCTGTCCCAGTGACTGTTAGCCAAGTGTTAGAAGGAGGTGAGAGGCTCAGGCAAAACGAACCTTTCTCAAGCAAAAGGAATAAAATAGTAAGAGTCTGGAAATTTGGAGCCTTGTGGGTGAAGAAAGTCCAATTGCTTCTAGACACTTTGTAGCATGAAACAAGGCCACCAGGGGTTGTAAGTGCAAAGACCCCCAAATGCTCAGCTCAGGGACAGAGACCAGACTCTGCGAGGAGGAGCAGCTCGGGTGGTCAGAGGACAAGGAAATGCAATCCTGGCTGAGGGTGTTGAAGACAGCGTTGCGGGTGTGGCTCCTTGTGCAGGCCAACAGCCCGAAAACAAACAGGTCAAAAGTCGCCGTCTAATGCTTAGAGGGAACTGTTTTGCCAAAGAAGTCATGAGACCAGACTTTAAAACCCTATACAGGGGCACCTGGCATTGGGCTCCCTGCTCAGCGGGCAGCCTGCTTCTCCCCCTCCCTTTGCTGCTCCCCCTGCTTGTGCTCTCTCTCTGTCAAATAAATAAATAAAATCTTAAAAATAAAAATAAAATAAAACCCTATACAGTTGGAGCATCAAAACAAAAGTGACCTGGGGCACCTGAGTGGCTCAGCCCGTTGGGCATATGACTTGTGGCTTCGGCTTGGCTCATGATCTCAGGGTAGTGAGATCAGCCCTGGTCAGCCTCCATGCTCAGTGTGGAGTCTGCTTAGGATTCTCTCCCTCTCCCTCCCTCCCTCTCTCTCAGAAATAAATTATAAATAAACAAAACAAAACAAAACAAAAAAACGGAAACAAAAGTGACCCGTAGGCCCGCAAGCTTGCACGGGCAGGGCATGGGCTGCCAAAGCTGGCCATCCCCCAGGGAAGGCCTAGCCCCCAAGTATACACCTCACATGTGGCTGCAGGGGATGGTGGCCAGGGAAGACTCCCAGAGGCTGGGGCCAGCTCTGTTACCCCTGCCATCCCTACTCCATCTCCACCCGCCTTTCCCTTCTGGAAGTTCCATCCTTCAGGGCAGGGGGCTTCCAGATCTGACTTGCAGATCTCTGCTCTCTTTTGTGTTAATTTCCATTTTCACTATAATTTTGCTTTCTGTTCTCAGCTTTTCCATCTGATCTTTCAGAAGGTTTTCACCTGTGACTACTTTTTTTATATATATATATTTCCTCTTTCAAATTTTTCATGCTGGAAATGTCTTTTTGGTTTTGGGAAACTGTCCACAGCCTATGTGCATCCACTCTGAGGCACCCATTATTCTCTCTCAGCCTGTTCTGTGAGCTCTGACCCCATGGGAGCAACCTTGTTCGGCTTGACCTCACTCCCTTGAGGTACTGAAGTCCGCAAACCGACTGCCATTTTTTTCTCCGCTGATACAAATGTGCAGGTTCCTTTGGCTTCTGGTAGGGCAGGCTTTGGGGTTCCGAGGTGCAGCCCGACAGACCCCTCACATCCTTCCTCCCCCGACACTGAAGCACTCATTCCCTGGCCTCTTGGAGTGCGGGCGGCCAGCCGCTCCCAGTGGAGTCCCTCTCCTGAACTTGCTCTTGGACAATGGAAGCTGCCTGTTCCAAGGTCTTGGCCCCTTCCTGGGGCAGCTGCATTCAATGACTGGTCGATGTGGGGCAGAAGGGGCGGGGCAAGGCTCAGGACCCTAGTCCCCGCTGCAGAGATCCCTGTAGCATGAGCTGAGGCTGCACTCTGTCTGCATCTCAGTCCCGCTGTTTCTTCTGTCCAGTTCTGCGTCTGCACTTCCCCACAGGGGGTCTATTCCCAAAAACCTCCACAATAAACCTCTTGCACACAAATCCTGGCATCTCAGAGTCTGACTTCCAGGGAACCCAACTGCAAATGTGTCTCTTGGGCAGCAGAAAGCCCACACGCGGTGGACAAGGGAGCCTTTGTTCAAGGGGCCTGGCCGCAAGGCACTCAGCAAGCTGGGCCCTCCGAGGACGTGTGTCGGGGCAGGGCGCTGTCTTTTCTCAGCTGCAAGCCAGAGTGCCCATGTGGTGGACAGGAAGGCTCTGCAGCCCCTGAGGAGGGTCACTTCTGTTGTAGTCAAAGAAATGAACAGCAAGTGTGAAAATAAACGAAGATCACCCAAATGAAACAAGGCAAGGGCAAGCTTGCTACAGTAAGGGAGTCAACCACCATCACTTATGTTTAGCAGAGACTCAGGGCAGGCGGGGAGGTTTTATGCAGGGTAGTGGAGGGGGAGGGGGAGGGGGGTGGGGGGGTGGGGAGGCTCCAGGTGTGCGCTGATTGGAGGCTGTTGGCCTGGGAAGTCGTAGGCAGACTTGTGCTTGGCCTTAAGTGGGAAGCAGGGACAAAAATTATGGAAATTGGCACTTATTAATCAAATCCTGGCCATACTGGGCTGGCTGTTACAGAAGTTATTGTTTAGCTTCCTGCATTATTACTAGAGATCTCAATATGGCTTCCCACAAGTCTTAGAGCAGGCTGCTTTCCTGGGTCATGATCTCGCTGTCCTGGGATTTAGCCCCAAGCCTGGCTCCTGCTCAGTGTGGAGTCTGCTTTAGATTCTTCCTCCCTCCCCCTCTGCCCCTCCCCCTGCTCATGCTTTCTCTCTTTCAAATAAATAAATAAATAAAAATCTTAAAAATAGGGCGCCTGGGTGGCTCAGATGGTTAAGTGTCTGCCTTCGGCTCAGGTCGTGATCCCAGGATCCTGGGATCGAGTCCCGCATCGGGCTCCCTGCTCCTTGGGAGCCTGCTTCTCCCTCTGCTTCTCTCTCTCTCTCTCCCTCTGTCTCTCATGAATAAATAAATAAAATCTTAAAAAAAAAATCTTAAAAATAAATAAATAAATTGATATGCACCTGATAGCACAGCCCTTCAAGTAAGTAAAGCAAAAATTGATAGAACAGCAAGGAAAAATGGAAAATCTACAATCCACAGGATATTTTAACCCTTCTCTCTCACTGACTGACAGAACAAGTACACAAAAAATCAGTAAGGCTATAGGATATTTGAAAAACATAAATAACGAATGGCTTGATTTATGGGTATAGAGCACTGAAGATCACACATTTTTTTCAGGCACACTCAGAATATTTGTGCGAAGTGACCATATACTGGCTCATAAAGCAGTTTCAACAAATCTCAAGGGATTAAAATACTATAGAACATACTCTCTGACCACAGTGCAATTCACCCAGAAATCAAAAACAAATAAAAATTTGGAAAATCCCCATTTGTTTGGAAATTAAGAAACACACGCTCAAGTAACAAATGGATCCAAGGAATAATTCAGATAGGAATTGAGAAATATTTTTTAACTGAAAAATAATGAGAATACTATATCCCAGAACTGTGGGGTACAGTGAAGGCAGCACATCGAGGACGTTTTTAGTCTTACACGCATATCTTAGAAAAAAAGACAAGGTGGCACCAAAAACTAATGATGTAATATATGGTGATTAACATAACAATAAAAAAATTTTAAAAAAAAAGAAAAAAAGACAAGGTGGAAAGTTAATGGAATAAACATCCACCTCAGGAATTTAGATGAGAACTCGAGTGTTGCACTGTTAATGGGAAGACGCCAGTAGAGAAGGAGAGGTGGACCAGAGAGAAGGGGAGTGGTTAGTTGGCAGGCTCGGGTTCTACAGGGAACACTGGAGACCAGGTGAGGAGATCATCTTTTACAGGCGGGAGCTCCTCTTCCAACTTGATAGAAAGGGAGAAGGAAAGAGTGGCTGTGGACCAGGCCCGCCTGTGTGTAGGTGGAGAGAGTGAGTGAGGAGGTTTGAAGAAGGTGGAAGGAAGTGGAAGCAAAGGGCCTCCCAGGAAAGTGTGGGATTTCTGGCAGCCCAGAGGGCCCTGCCGAGGCCACACACCAGGGATCTTCTTCAGCACCCAGGTGTAGGCATGAAAAAGGTAGACAGCTGGACTCATCCAGCGGCGTAGTGTTGCCATATGGGTGCGCTGACGGGCAAGGAAGGTGAAGTTGTTGGCAAAAGAGTGACTTCCTTGTTGGATCGCAGAATCCCAGCTGGAGGACAGCAGGGCAAAGGGCGAGAAAGCAGAAAGGGGAAGGGGCTGCAGATGAGGATGAGGCTCATGGACAGGTGCAGCGGGAGTAATGAGGTGGGTCACAGCTGGAAGGATGGCTCAAGAGTGGGGATCCTCTGCACATGAACGACAGGGTCCCGACTGTGGCCTTGGGATGGCCAACTGAGGTGGAGAAGCCAGGAAGGTCACCGTGACGGGGGGCAGAGGAAGTCAGAGCACACAAACCATGGAGTCCCTCTTGATGATATCAAAGGAGGGGTGGGGGATGACAATGGCCTGATGCCATCAGAGGTGGGATGAGGAGGTTGGTAGAAGGCAGTGCCCAGGAGCAGTAGAGGGTGGCACCTCTTCCCTGATGCAGAGGAAGAGAAGCACCTCCATGTGCATTTTTCAAGGCATGGGGCCTTTTTGGGTAGGCTCTACGCCCAACATGGGGCTTGAACTCACGACCCAGATATCTACAGTCATGTTCGACCAACTGAGCCAGCCAGGCATCCCCAATGTTAGAATTATTTTCACAAGTTCCAAGAGAATACAAACGAGTTTTTTATTAGAATTGCATTAAACCTATGGATTAACTTGGGAAAATTGACATCTTTATAAGATTTCAATTTCCTGTCCAGAAACCTGACGTACCTCTTCATTTATTCAAGTTTATTTTTAAAATTCTCTATATAAAGCAAATTAGAAAGCCTGCTTAAATCCTGAATGTTTCTACTAACGTATCTCTAGGTATTTTATAATTTTATTATCAGAGTAACTGACGTTAAAAATTTTTTAAGGGTGCCTGGCTGGCTTAGTGGGTAGAGTGACTCTTCATCTTGGGGTCTTGAGTTCAAGCCCCACCATTGGGTGTGGAGCCTACTTTAAACAAACAAACAAACAAACAAATATATTTTTAAAAATGTTTTTAGCTCGTTACTGTTGGTATACAAGAAATCTACTGACATGTATTTATTTTGTATCCAGACAGATGATTGACTTGTTCTTGTAACTTTTAATTCACTTTTAAGTTGACTCTCTTAGACATTTAGGTAGTTAATAATATCTCATGTAAATAATGACAGCTTGTCTTTAAAAGAAAACCTTGTAGTTTTCGTCTCATTCCTTTGACTAGAACGATGTTCACCAAGAGCTTGAGAATGGTTGTCTTGTTTCTGATCTTTCTAGGACTATCTCCAGTTTTTTTTTTTTAATTTTAATCAATAAGTACGATGTGGGATAATAGTTTAAAATAATCATTCTTTATCATTTTGAGTAAAGATTCTCTTATCCCTAGTTTACTGAGAATTTTTATCAAACCATGTTAGCCATTTTGTACTAAATTGTAATAGAGATTCCTGCCATTTCCTCTCCCTCCATGTCATACATATTGAACACTTGCTTTCAACGACCACTCAGAATTCTTGATCAAGATTTTCAACAATGATCTCTTCAAAATTTTGGAAATCGGGATATTCAAGATACGTTGTTTGAGTTAGTAGGAGATAAATATTTAAAACCATTTTTTTTTTTAATCAGCCATTTCTGATGAGAGTCCCTGCTTGACCTCAAAGTCCCTGCACCCTTAGTTTTTCATTTCTTGGACTCTGAGCCATGCTCCTTAGGTTTCTGGAATATGAACGCCTCCAGCAACATGCAGCCCTTGTCCGTGAAGGCAGCAGGAGGTTCTGCAGCATTGAAAGAGATGCTGGTAACGGCCCCTCCTTAGACTGGAGAACTTTGCAGTGGAGTGGAGTATCTGTATTTGCTGCCTGGGGGCCCCCAGGGTTTGCCAGCAGAACTTTCTCTGCATCGCCACCCTCCACAGAGCCCTGGACAAGGTGGCCCTGTGGGGCCAACCCAAGGGTTGAAGGTGAGCCAAGACACAGCTGGTTAAAAATCCAGTGTTAGCTGCAAATTTGATAAGCATTTTTTTTTTAAAAAGGATTTATTTATTTTAGAGATAGAGAGCACAAGCGGGGTGTTGAAGGGCAGCAGAGGGAGAGGGACAAGCAGACTCCACACTGAGGGTAGAGCCCGACACAAGGCTCGATCCCGCAACCCTGAGATCATGACCTGAAAGTCAGATGCTTAACCAACTGTGCCACGCCGGTGCCCTGATAAATCATACTCTTAATCCTTTCCCTCAGGACATCCACTAATGCTACTGACTCTTCAGTTATTGGTGGAGTGATCTTTATATGTCCATGAGGCCAGGATTTACCAGTTCCATACCTTACTAAAAGGAACGTATTCAAATCTCTCCCTATGTTGGGGGTTTTTCTATTTCTCCTCTGCCAATTTTGCTTTGTATGTTTTGAGGTCTTGTTATTGGGTGTATTCCCATTTAGAATATTTAGAAATGTTACATCTTCCTTTTTTTTTTTTTTTAAGTGTGGAGACCAACATGGGGCCAGAACCCACAATCCTGAGATCAAGACCTGAGCTGAAATCAAGAGTTAGACACTCAACCAACTGAGCCACCCAGGTAACCCTGTGTGACATCTTCCTACTGTGTTGGATCTTTTATCAATTTGAAGTGAAATTCTTCTTTCTTTTTTAAGATTTTGTTTATTTATTTGAGAGAGAGAGCACAAGTGGGGGCAAAGGGCAGAGGGAGAGGGAGAAGCAGACTCCCCACTGAGCAGGGAGCCTGATACAGGACTCGACCCCAGGACTCTGAGATCATGACCTGAGCTGATGGCAGATGCTTAACCAACTGAGCCACCCAGGCGCCCACGAAATGACACTCTTTATCCCGCGTGTAATTTTTTAAAAACCAACTTTATTGGGGCGCCTGGGTGGCTCAGTCGTTGGGCATCTGCCTTTGGCTCGGGTCATGATCCCAGGGTCCTGGGACTGAGCCCCACATCGGGCTCCCTGCTCAGCGGGAAGCCTGCTTCTCCCTCTCCCACTCCCCCTGCTTGTGTTCCCTCTCTCGCTGTGTCTCTCTCTGTCAAATAAATAAATAAAATCTTTAAGAAAAAAACTTTATTGGGATATAATTTACATGCAACAAAATGCGTACATTTTAAGTGTTCAGTTCTACTTATACACACACACACTCATGTAACTAACATCACAATCCTTTAATTTTTGCCTTTCTTTACAGCAGAGCATTTGTTTTGTTTTTTCAGTTAAATGTATTGAGGCATAGTTTACATTCAGTAAAATTCACATTTTCATGAGTTGTAACAAATATATACAGTCGGGTGCCGGGGTGGCTCAGTTGGTTAAGCGACTGCCTTCGGCTCAGGTCATGATCCTGGAGTCCTGGGATCGAGTCCCGCATCGGGCTCCCGGCTCAGCGGGGAGTCTGCTTCTCCCTCTGACCCTCTTCCTTCTCGTGCTCTCTATCTCTCATTCTCTCTCTCTCAAATAAACAAATAAAATCTTTAAAAAAAAACAAATGTATACAGTCGTGCAACCATCACTACAATCAAGATATAGAATATCTACATCACCCCCCAAAATTCCCTTATACTCCTTTGTAGTCAATCTAGAGTTGCCAGATTTAGCAAATTTAGCTGGGCAACCTGTACTTTATTTGGCAAGTCTAAGCCAATTCCTGTTCCCTCTCCCATCCCCTGGTGACTACTGATTTCTGTTTCTATGCTTTTTTCTTTTCATGAAGGTCATATAAATGGAATAATACTGTATGTCGTTGTCGGTTTGTAACCTTTCTGGGAGCTTCCCGTGTATAATCCGAAACTGGCCCCAAAATGCAGAGGGCAAGAAGAGACCAAAGAAAGAGAAAGGCCACTCCAGGTTGGTGGGTGGCAGTTTCAATAAGTGAAGGGAACTTACATACGAGGCTTGTCTTGATTGGCATCAATGTGAGTGAATCCCTGCACCAGCTGCCGAATCTTGGAAGTTTATAGAGAGAGAGAGGCCTTAACAAGTTTCAGTCCCATACACCACACAGGTGTTCTCAACACCACGTCAACCGTCTCAAGCCTACATCCTTGGAGCAGCCTCTGGGAGCAGGAAAGGCAAGCAGAACCCACATTCCAAGGACGGGGGAGAGGCTGAGTAGCCTCTGAGTGCCCGGGTCCAGCTCACAGGTCAACCGGAGGTCACATCCTCTCAATGACCTTCCTCAACAGTAGTTTCTTCTGTCTGGTTTCTCTTAGCATAATGCCTTTGAGATTCTTCAGTGTTGGTGACTGTTATCAGTAATTCTGCTTTCCATGGCTGAGTAGCAGTCCATTGTATAGATGTACAGAAATTTTAAATCCTCTCACCCACTGATTGTCATTTGAGTGTTTCCAGTTTTTGGCAATTGTGAAAAAAGTTGCTGTAGACATTTTCATGCAGGTCTTTGTGTGTCCATATGTTTTCACTTCCTTTGGGTAAATACCTAGGAGATTGCCAAACTCGGTATTTCCGAACACTGTAAGTGACAGGTCAGGAACAGCAGCCCAATAAGGCGTACAGAATTATATTTCTATCCTCTTCATTATCCATCTTTATTCTACAAAGTCTCATAATTTTCATGTCCTTATTTTTCTGTTTACAGAGTAAAAAGGAACCTTCGATTAATAATGACAATGAAGGGTTGAGCATGAAGGGAAATATTGCCCTTGTTTTTTTCCCTAGGAGTGATGGTTCAGAATTTACTAAGTCGGTCTTCATGGAGACCTTGCTGAACAGAACTACCATGAGTAAAGATAAAACTGAGGCACAGAAAGTCTAAGCTTCTCACTCACTGTCACTCAGCCAATAAGTGGAGCTGGGGTTTGAAGCCAGGCAGGGTTACTCCAGAGCTCTTTGCATGTGAAATCTAGTATGGACTATAGTCAAATAATAATGTAGTTCAATGACTAAGAGCACTGGGCTCTGCTATATTTGCATAGAAAGCCCTGAGATGATCTGTACTCTGAGACAAAAGCTTTCTCTTAATGCATCCACTGCCATCAACAGCAGTGCACCAGCCCTGCTCTACTCTTCATAATACTCTGCAGAAGCAGCTATGCAGTTCCCAAAGATATGCTCAACACTAGGCTCCAGATGACTCCAATCCACTGAAAAGGTGCAAGGTTCCTCTACGAGAGAATGAGTTTCCCTGTATTCTGGACCATCTTGGCAACATAGTTCCACTGTTATCTGAAAACCATTTTCTAGTAACACCTTAGGCTGGGGGCTCACAAATATTTTCTGTAAAGGACCAGGTAGTAAATATTTCAGGTGTTGGGAGTCATATGGTTTTTGCTGCCATTATTCAACCCTGCCCTTGCAGGGCAAAAGCCTAGACAATATATAAAAGGTATAACCGTATCCCAATAAAACTTTATTTACAAAAGCAGACAGAGGGCCAGCAGACCCCTGCCCTAGACTATGAGCTCTTAGAGGAGGCTTGGGTCTTTATCTTTGTAATTTCAGCCCCAGCAGTAAAAATTGTCCTGATTTTACAGTCACAGATGTTGATTTTTGAGGAAGACAGGCATAGAACTACCACCGGCTATTTGGGTGTATTTTCTCCTGAACAGAGATAGTGCACTTCTTATGTTAGATCTGAGCGAGTTGGGAAAATCAAAGCAAACACAAAGCAAAAGGATCTTGTCTTCACAAACCCTCCCAACTGGCCTGGGTCTCGGCAAACTTGTTTTTTGCAGGCTAAGTTCTACACGACTTGAAACTATGAGGTTGAACTGGAGATGGCAGCTCTAAACTGAGTTTCAGGAGCTCCCAGAGCTCAGTGCAGGGAGGTGATCTCGTCTTTGCACACCGTCTGGTTTCGTTTCTTAGTCCAGGACCCCAAGACAGGTTACACAACGGACTGAAAATAAAGCCTTTTGTTTTTCCCACGAGATCATCCTTCACAGACAGGCTTTCTTTGGACTTGGGGGTCCTAAGTTTCACACAGAGTGGGATTCAGTCACACAACTAGGCATTTGCAAAGCCTACTTCTAAGTCAAGTCCTATACACTTTCCTTTATGCCGTTTGGCCGCATTGTCATCCCGCGTCTTACAATTACTAAACATTGAGTCTCATCTTCTGCGCCGCATTGTCATCCCGCGTCTTACAATTACTAAACATTGAGCCTCATCTTCTGCATCTGTAAAACAGGCACAGAGCCCCTATAGTGCTGTCGCAGAATTAAATCAACGAACTTGACAGGTAAATCACGGAACCCAGCGCGGGGCTTGGCACGTGGCACGCGTTCAGAGCACTGCAGCCACCACCCCCACGATTCCTTACTAACTGGACCGCCAGGGCTGGACCGTGTGAGGGAGGAGCGCGGCAGTGTGGGCCACCCCCAGGGCTCGGGCCCCTACTCGGGCCCCCCCCAGCTCTCACAGCCCCGCAGCCGAAGCGGAGGACCACCACTTCCGCCGGACACCCGTCCGAAATAGCCGCTTCTGGCCGCTTCCGGCCACGAGCGCGACGGAGCCCGAGCCGCCCCGTACTGGGCGGAGCCTGAGGGGCAGCCACGCCCCTCGCTCCCGGCTCCCTTTCGGCTGCGCCTGACACCGCCGAGCTGCTCCCAGCTCCGGCCGGAGCTGCCCCGCCCTCCTGGGCCCGCCTCCGGTGACGTCAGTTCCGGGGCGGCCCGGGCGGGGCCTGAGCTAGGGCGGCTGCCTCGAGCAGTCTTGGCTTGGGTGCGCTGCTCCGCTGCCGGCCACGTCTCCACGCCGGGCCGCGGGCACTTCCCCGCCGTCCGACGGCCGCCCGGCCGCCGCAGGCCTGCCGCGCCCGGGTAAGGGGCCCGCGCCGCCGTCCGGGGAGCTGTTGTCACGGCTCCCTGAACCGGCTTGCGACCGAAAGAGGGAGGTGGGGGCAGGAGGAGGCTTGAATGGGGGCATGAGAGGCAGGGGGGGGAACCGAGAAAAGATCAGACGGGGCGCAGGTGCAAGACGAGGAGGACAGGAGAGAGGAAGGGACGGTTGGGGGACCGAGAGGCTGGAGGGAGGAGGAGGGCTTCAGGCGGATCCCAAACCGGGGAAGAGGCCCGGCTCGTTCGAGTTTGGGAGCGAAGGGTGGGAGAGTCGGGACACTCCCATATGGGGAACTGAAAGGTTTTCCCGGGGCAAGGCTGGGCCCCAGACGTGCTGCCCTCCGAGAAAGAGTTGG